CGGGCTGGCCCGCGGGCCATGGCCCACTTTGCCATCCCTATCAAATTTTAATGATTAAATTATTGAATTAAAAATTCTTAATACATAAATTAATTTTACAAATTTTTTAAAAAAAATATATAAAAACTATTTAATATTTTATTATATAAATTTAAATCAATGTATAAAATATTCTTATGATTATCCATCAATTTGAATTAATGAAATAAAATACCAAATAATTTTCAAAAATTTTAAAGATTTGTATATTTGATCTATGTATTAAAATATTTTAATTTAACAGTTCAATCGTAAAAATTTAACATAAAATATAAGTTATTGAATGGAGTAAGTCTAGATAGATTTACTCTTGAAAATAATGAATCCATCCTTTCTCTTTCTCTCTCTATATAATAATAAGTATATTGTGTGATAATGTTCTTAAGAATTTATCTTTGACAAGAATTTTTATACACTTTTCTTCAATGAGAGTTTTTAGATATTTTTAAACTTTTTATCCATTTCAATTTTTTTTCCTATCATATTTATATATTATTAATACAAATGTAATATTTCTAAAACAAATTATGAATAATTAAAAATAATTTTGTATCATTATATAATTTATCTACCATAAATTTCAAATATAATTATATGTTCAAAATTTTTATTTATACAATTTTTAAGCATAATATAATTTATATATCTAAACATAATATTTATTTTTATATAATTTATTATAAAATTTAATTATATATATATATAAATATTTTGTTCAATACACAAATTAAAATACTAATAACATTACAAATTAAAAAACTTTACCTAAATTAAATTGTCATTAATGTTTATAAATTTAAACAAAAGTATTTTTAAAGATATTTGTTTACAAGAGCACTAGTTTTTCTTTATAAGAACACTTGAAGAATTTTTTTTACCATTTTTTTTTAATTTATCATTGTAACGATCTACTTGATCGCTGTATTTACTACAATCCAACAACAACTAAGTGAAAATACAAGTATCAAATATTTGCTTAGGATATCATGTAACAAGTAGGTAAATCTCATATAAATAGTCATATATATGTAAGAAATAAAATAATTGTTCCTAAACATATATACACACTTCATACGAAGTAAATAACTACTATATATAAATAAACTTAGTCATTGGTCAAACATTTGTACAATATCTAGTTACCTCGGGGTAGCAACATCCAAAAGACAACTACCTCTTGCGTGACTCGCCACAAAACAACATAACTTAGCCTGTTATCATGTCCTACTTTCATATCAAGTATGATCATAACAAAATCTCAAACCATAAGAAAAAACATAGGATAAACTTGTGAAACAGGAATAACGTCAAAGCAACAACAATTCAACATACAACTTATCATCGTACATTATTACAACTTAAACATCATTCAACTTACATCTTAACCACCCAACAACATAACATTATGTTAGCTTACATCTTTACAACTTAACCATTTATCAATATGTATACAAACTTTCAACTTAACAACAATAATAAACATAATATCCAGCATATACATCATCACATACAACATCAAATTACACCTATCTATATTGTTAACCTATCATTTCATCACACATTTCCAGCAACTTAGCATCATAAAATTCTTATAACTTACACGTCAACCAACTTACACCATTCAACTTTTAACACTTTATAATATATGCAACATATTCATAAAACTTTCTTTCACGATGACAATATAACTATTATCATACATCATCCATCATATAGTTCATATATCTTTATTTGAACTATAAGACAACTTAAAACATCATACAATATGTATCAGCATACAACTTATCAAAATCAACTATCATATAATGACAACCTTCACATAACATAACACAATTGAGGTTTTAATAATCCAATCAAACTCACCATTATCTCATATGAAAGCTAAAAATGTTATTTATAACTCTTTTGATGACTTCAAATTCTAGACCTCCTTTTGCCTAAATTTTGATAGCTTGACCTTTACTCACTAAAAAGGTCATAACTAAAGTTCTATAACTCTTTTTAGGTGATTTTGTAACACCCCGAATTTTTCTACTAATACAATGAATAATTATTATTTATTTTTGTATTTATGAAGATTATTTTCTTATAATTATTTTGATTAATTAAATGGGTTTGATTGAAGTTTTAAAGGATTTTAATAATAATCATTTATGAAAATTATTTTGTATAATATTATTAATTATGATATTTTGTTATAATTATTATTTGAAGAAAATCATGTTTTAAATTGTTTTGATATTTTATTTTAATTTGACATATATATATATATATATGTTATTTATTTATTTATTAATTAACAATCCTGGATTTTTGTAGCTCTGGAACGGGCCGTTCCACTTTGGGAACGGGCCGTTCCAAATCAAGCATGCATGGGTAAAATTTTAACCCAGAACGGGCCGTTCCACTTTGGGAACGGGCCGTGCCGGATGTGTTTTTAAAGGACAAAGTCTTGATTCAGAACAGGCCGTTCTGGTTTAGAACGGGCCGTTCTGGGAGAGATTTTTGTACATGTTCTATGTGCTCAGAACGGGCCGTTCCACCTTGAAACGGACCGTTCTGGTTTTGGAACGGGCCGTTCTTGAATAATTTAAAAAAGATCATTACGTCCTTCCTTCCCTTCTCATAAAACAATCAAAATATAATTTCTCTTTTTAATACAAAATAACATATGCTTAACTTTAATAAAATACATTTCATAAAAACCTGTCTCATATCAAATAATCAAATGCCTATAACACTTGTAAGAATCCTTAAAGTATAAAGCAAAATGAAAATTAATAAGATTGGTGATGCTTTGGTAAAGATGTTTAGTTGGAGTAATTGATGTTTTGTCTATGTAGAATTAGGTTTTAATTACATTTTTTCTTATTAGAGTGCAATGTTTGCATTTTGGGAAGGTTTGTGCGATTTTTGTGCATGCTGTAGTTTCTCTCAACTAATATGACACTAGATGTTATGAAGGGCCACTAGGTGTGGAGCAATAGAGAGCATAGGTTACTCTTTCTAGCTCATATGTTGGGCGTATCCACGTTGGGCGTGGGAGCTCTAAGGGCTTCCTAGTGCAAATTCATAGAGTGTGAGTGTAGTAATGTTAGCACTACAACACAAAGAGCTTTTCGTAACATTTGAAAAATTTACCTAATTGTGTATAAATGTTGTTAATTTATTTTTGCAACACATTATCAAATATTGTATGTAATTCATATTGCTAAAAACTTTTAATAACACTTTTACACAATCAGACAACATTTTTCAAATGTTATCAAAGTGGTATTTTTGTAACATTTTATTGATATTGCTAAGCTTTTGTTAACTTTATAAAAATAGCTAGTTTATATAAATGTTGCTATCAATTATTATATTTTATGTCTTCTAAACTCCTACAAGTTCTTTAAGAAAAGGTTGAAGACATTCTTAATTAGTCAACAATAATTATATATCAAATATCAAAGTTCATTTATTTTAAGTATAACTACATTATTATTTATAATCTTTATGGGTTATTCATTTAGTCGATGTAAGATTTTAATTATGGGAAACAATTAGAGATGAGCGAAATATATTCTTTATGTAATATTTGTTTACTTGATGTGAGACTTTGATTTTAAAAATAATTAGAAAGAATAATATTTGGATAAAAAAAGGTTAGTTATCTGTAATAATATTTAAAAAAAAATGTTGCAAAATAAACTATGCAACATTTTTTTTACTCAATGTGTAACTTTGATTTTGAAAAAAAAATGGAAAGAATATTGTTGAAATAAATTTTTTTTGCTCTATTTATAGAAATATTTTTCAAAAAAATATTGTAAAATAACCTATTTATTTAATATAGTAATATTTTAACAAATATAAGTACGAGAATGTTGCTAAAGAATGAAAATGTAGTAGTGTGGGTGAGGGACTTCCAAAGAGCAATGTGTGCTCTTTGTTTTCTTGGATGAGTGTGATGTTATTATTAATTTATCTATGTTATACTTATTTTGTTTGTGTTTGGCTATTCGACATATATTTCTACACTGTGAGCCAGAGTGAGATGTTTCTCACTCCCTTTTCTCGTGTTGTTCTGTTTTGACTGTTATACAGGTGATCATCAGCGTGAGGCTGAGGATGTTGGTGATGAAGCTTAGGCTTCTATGTTGGGTTTTGCTCTGATAGGACATGTGACATCGGGACATAGATAGAATTAGTTTAAAGATGTTCTTATTAAATTATTTTACAAAATTCAGTTTTATTTCTTTGTAATTTTACCGGCATGTTATTTGGATTAAGTTTATGAATGTGAACTCTTTACCCTTACGTAGCTGGAAATTTAATTTTTAATGATGAAAATTTTTATATTTTTTATAATTACGGTATATGTATGTTGGGGTAGAGGGTGTCACAGATTTTGAAGCCATTGACAAGCTAACATCTAGGGTTACAACTTTCATGAAAATCACAAAAGCAAATTTGGCCATCTACTTACTTAAACGAGTCAATCTTTTGATTAAGCGAGGTCAGCTTAATTACTAAAAGCAATCAACAACTCACTTTGAGTGATCAAAATTCGCTCAAAGCACTTAAAACTTGCTTGGAGAGACCCAAGTTAAAAAGCATCTCTAACTAACTACCTAGGCTCGCTTGGAGCAACCCCACGGGCGTTCTAAGCGACTTAAACTCAAAAAACAAGCACGATTTTGAGAAAAACCAGCAATCTCAAGAACAACTTCAAACTATCTCAACCCAAACCCAAAACATGCATGCAACTCTGAGTCTTACAGTTATAACAACATGCAACTCATAAAATTAAAGAAACTGAGACATGCATCAACAATACATCAATTTGTCATCATCAAACCTCCTATTCTTCACCAAGAACACAACACCCACCCCAAGAAAAATCAAGCATACCGACAACACAATTTCACCATTAAAAACAACGTGCATTTCAATCAAGACAATCACAAAGCTTCCCTTACCTCTTGCTTATCCACACGAAAAGAAGAGTGGAGAAGTTGCGAGCTCCAACCGACTTTACATCACTTCTCACTTGGGATTATTGGCTTTGGGCCTTGAATCATAAGTCCCACAAGATGAATCAATTGTTAGAAGTAGAGAAAGAAAAATTTCGGAAAGAAGAATCTAACTTCCCCTTCTAAAAACTTTTCTCAAGATATAAGTCTCCCCTCAAGAAATCTTAGAAAAATAATTCTTCTAAGACTAAACTCACTTGTCCACATAGAACTTCAACATACATCTAAACTAGTACTTGAAAACATGAGTATTACAATTATCAATTATTTGTCATCAAAGATTTTTCTCATCGTGCTTTTGTTTTAGCGCATTTGATCCGATTTTTATTTTTGTTGTATCGGACAACATCTAGTTACTCTTCTATTTACAAAATAGCAAATACAATGTAATTTTTATTAAATATAAGAATAAGAAAAATTTTAATCACTATTATAATATTGTTTAAATTAGTATATGAATAAAAAGGAATAAACTAAAATTAGACAATATAAATATCCCAACCACTATGTAATAATTGGATGTTGTGATAATATTTTTTTACAACTATAATTTATCTTTCAAATTAAGTATTAAAAGAATGCACATCTCGGTACTTTATAATTTTTTATTGTATATGAAATTATTACATAATAACTAACATAGATAAATTAACATTATATTTAATTATATATTAATAATTTTATTATGAAATTAAATTTGATTAAATTATCAATAAAAAATCAACTTTTATATGTTAAATATAAATTGTTATCTTATGCATGTATCATTTTATTTTCTAAAATAATAATATTATTAAATATTATCATATTATATTCAAAATTATTATTTATTTTTACATGTGGGGAATCATTTTATTATATTTATTTATTTGATTTAATGAGAGAAGGGAAATGAGTCGGGTTGACCCGATTCAATGAGCTTTTAAAAGAGGGGTTAGGCAAAATTTACCCTAATTTATCTCATTTTGCATTTTGAAGGACTAAGAGAGAGATGGAAGAGAAGGAAGGAGCTATAGCGAGAAGTGCTCAGAATTGTCTCAAAATATCATCACAATAAGGTATAGGGGAGGGAAAGGAGTGATTCATGTGTGAGATTACAAGAGAGAATAGGTAGTGGGAGGAATCCCAAAATTCTTAAGATTTTTCTATTTCTGTTCTGAAGCTGAAATTGATAATCCAGTTAGGTTCTATATTGAATTATGAATGTGTTTATTGTACTATTTGGTAAAATTGATGATCTGAAGAATAATTGAACTCATTGGAATGTCTCTGCAAGTTAGGGTTTCTAGAGAAATTTGGGTATTGTTAACTGGTATGAAAATTTATGAAATAAATGTTATATAATTTGTTTTTGGGTAAGTAAAAATAAGTGTTCTGACTGATTGGATTGGTAAAAGGTAGAGCTGTCAAAACGGGTCAGCCCGACCCATGTGGGCCGGCCCACTTTGGCCCACCTTAAAAACGGGCCAACCCAACCCGACCCACTTTTTATTTTGTCAGAATTTTTATGGCCCGGCCCGGCCCACCCTGATGTGGCTCATTCCAGCCCACCCTAGACCAAAAAAAAATTTGTCACGTGTCATAGGTGTCGCTATGGGTCATAGCGACACCGTAGAAAACAGCCCCAAATGTGTAATATGTTTCAAAACAACCCTATTTTGATAAATAATTTGTAAAAATGCTCTAAAATGGTCGTTTAGCCATTTACTTGCATATTCTTCTACCTTGTCTTACACTTATTTTGTTTAACTTTGTTACTCCCATTTTGTTTAACTTTGTTACTCCTATGGGAGTAAGAAATAAGAATATTTATGTTGGTTTGTTTGTTTTGTGCTATTTCTTACCTGAAAAAGTCGTGGTTGTGAATTTTTCATCAATTTTGGCAAAAACACAATGGTGTATAAATGCAATGGAACGTATATAAGGTCATTTGAGTTCAATTTTTATGCATATATTTGTTCGCTCATGGTAAACCAATTCATGATTTTATTCCTAATCAATTCCACATACATGATATTACTAATATTGTAACTAAATCTTTCCGACATCATTTTTTTTATGTTAGCAATATGAAGCACGAAAAAAATATATAAGAAGGAGGATTGATTGATGTTTAAAATAAAAAAACCAAAAAAATATGAAGATTTATGGGACCAAAAGTAAATGTGAATTATATATTATAATAAAAACTAAAAGATTATTTGAACCTTTTATTTAATTTATATTCATTATAAAAGAGATAAATTTCAGTAGTCACTTTTTTTAGTTTCTATTTTTTATTAGATAATTATATTTTTAAAATTTCAAATTATTCTATATAATTATTTATTTTCAAAATTTAATTTTTTATAACTATTTTAATATATAAAAATAATAAATATAAAGAGTCATGAAATATTTATTTTTTTTACTGGTTAAAAATTAGACTAGTTTTCTCTGCATAATGGTATTTGTTTGTTGACTCACGGGAATAGGCAATAGCGAAGACGAGCACGTGACGTGGTTCAGTTGAGAAAACATCACGGTGGTGTGTGAATTCGAATTGGATCCACCGCAGCGCAACCTCATAACTTCTGCTTATCGCATCTTCCACTAAACCATGGACCTCGATCCTCGTCAATACGAAAACGTTGTATGTCTCCATTTCTCTTCTTACTGTTACCACCCCACTGTCTGCTTTTATATTTTTGTGTTTTCATGAATTTCTTTTCTGCCATGTTTATAGATAGTGCTATTGCGTTGTCAATTTTTCGTATCCTCATCCTATCTTAGGCCACTAATATCTCTGCTCCTTTCCTTTCTTAACTAATTTTCGTCATAGTGTTATTTCCCTCTCGAACACGTAGCTCTTCTTGATTGAGGACTTGACTAGAATGGAGACCCTAATTGGCCACTGGATATTAACAATATTGTTGTTGCGATTAAAAATTTCTTACTCTTAGCCAAACCCTTGAACCGTGTTGCAAATATTTCAATTATTTCTTTTCTGAAAGATATTTCCCACCCAACCCTAATTTCCGATGCCAAAATATTGAACAGAATTACAATTTCCCCCCTTCATTTTTATTTTTGAAAGAGTACATAATTGAGTTGATAATCGAGATTGAACCCTTGTTAGTACACTCTGTTTGGTTTCTTCTAATTGTATTGATTATCTTGCCATAATTAATGAGGTTAACAATATTTTTTTTTGGCCACTTGAATTTACAGGCTATAAATGATAATGACATCCACAATATTGTTCTGTCATATCTTATACATAATTGCTATAAAGAATCAGTGGAATCATTCATTGCTTGCACTGGGACGAAGCAGCCCGTGGATTATTTGGAGGACATGGACAAAAGGAAAAGTAGGTTTGTGGTTATTTTTAGGTGTACAAGATGAACTCAATTCCTTTTGTTGCTTCCTAATTCTTAGATAAGCGAATTTGGACCTAATTCAATCCTAGAAAACTAGCTTGTAAGGTGAAGATTGCTTTCACCACTTGTATACTCTATTTTAGTCATATCTCACTAGTCAATATGAGATTTAGGTTTTTTCTAGGAGTTCTGATACCGTCTTAGATAAGTGAGTTTGAGTCTAATTCAATCTTATAAAGTTAATTTTGTAAGGTTGAGTTAGGACAAAACTCACGTACTAAGATTGGTTGTATTTTATTTGCTTGCTTAGTCTAGGAAGTTTAGCATACACCTAATGATTGTTCATAACCATTCTTGAAAATTACATACTCTAAAAATGCACGTTGGAATACTCAACCCTGACTTGAAGGATGCTGAACCATTGCTTGCTTTAATAGTACTTGAAATATCTGCTGCTCTTTGAAATGACAGCAGACTTTTCTCTTAAAACACATTTCAGTTGTGGTTATACTTTTTTCTTTCGAATCATTTTTACTTTGTTAAGAATCAACTGGGCTTCTCTTGATATTTTAATATTTCCTCCCCCACAGTCTGTGGGGCAGAGCTGCCGAGGGTGTTGGGAAATGCTCCGGACACCTATGAAGTTAATATCCTTTTTATTGATCCTATTATAATTAGTGAAGACCTTCTTGATGGTAAGTATCATTTGTCTGTAGGAATCTTTCACTTTGCACTAGAGGGTAATGCACTCAAGGCAATTGAGCTTACTGAACAGCTGGCACAGGATATTCTAGAGAACAATAAGGATTTGCAGTTTGATCTACTAAGCCTTCATTTTGTTGAACTTGTCTGCTCTAGGAAATGGTGAGCTGATATTATTTTTTTCTCTGAGAGAAAATGTTGTAAACTTCCTGCTTTCATAGAATCTCGTTTTATTGGCAGCACAGAAGCTTTGGAGTTTGCTCAGACCAAGTTGAGCCCTTTCGGAAAGGAGCACAAATATATGGAAAAGCTTGAAGTATGTATTTTTGCATAGGTTTTTTATGATGTGTTTGTTTGTTTGTGCATGCTTAAGATTGAATAAATATGAAGCTGCCAATGTTGCAGGACTTTATGGCCCTTCTTGCTTATAAGGAGCCAGAAAAATCCCCAATGTTTCATCTCCTTAGCTTAGAGTATCGGCAACAGGTTGCAGATAGTTTGAATCGAGCTATTCTTGGTTGGTTAACTTGATATCTTCATGTTTCTTTTTAAGTTCAATATATTGGTTGCAAATCATTATGCTTTTTCCTATCCAAGTTAAATATATAATTTTTTTCCCCTGTGGATGATGGGTAATTGCCAGCACACTTGAGTCTTCCCAGTTACACAGCAATGGAGAAGCTAATACAGCAGGCTACGGTTGTAAGACAATGCTTAAGTCAAGAAGCTGGCAAGGTATTGGGTGTAGCTTATGTAATTTAAGATTTGATGCAAATTTCTGTCTAACTTAGACAACATTGGACTTAAGCATTTTAGCACAGGTGTAGAAGGAGATGTAGTTACTATATTAAGAAATTATAGTGTTCAAGCTGATTCTTTCATTACTCTTTGTAGGATGGGCCTCCGCCATTTTCCTTAAAGGATTTTCTCAAAAGTTGATGGAAACAGTAAAAGATCGAAAGCCAAGTGGGGAATGAAGCACATTTACCTTAAGCCTTTCTTGTCACATTGGATTGGTGTATGGTTTTGACATAGGAGTAAAGTTTTTCTGAATGCCTTTTCATCTCTAAATTCTTCGTTGCCAAGCTATCTTGATCATTTTGGTCTTGCTGCACTTTTGTGAGGCATGAGTAATCCATGAGTGACCATGGCGAAAAATGCAATTACCGGATTGAGATGATCCTTCATGTCCAAGGCAATTGACCTCATTTGTGGCCTGATGTCAACTGCCCTAATTTCCCTAACTTAGGACATTTTCAATCTATTACAAGGTTGGGCAGACAAAATTAAGCATCATAATTTCTCTTAATTTTGATTATTTTCAATCCATTGTGAGGTTGAGCAGCCAAAACCAAGGATATATATTATATTGTTTTAATATTTGATGTAAAATTCATCTGGCATCTTTTGGTTACATGTATGTGGATATGATAGGTAGATTGAAGACTATTTTAGTCTGTGTGACTTCTATTTCTTTTGTCAGTTTGGAAGTATCAGCGTTTTGGTATATATCAAAACGTTGGGTGTGTAGAAAACGCATATCTGAATTAAATTTGTAGTTGTTTTTTTATGAATTTTTAATTTTATTTTAGTATCATTCTTATTATTTTGGTGGGGGAGCCTATCAATGTTAAATCACTTGATGCTGATAACTATTCCACTCATGCCAAAAAGACGCAAATTTTCTCAAAACACCACAGGCAGTTCAAATGCCTCCCAGTAAAGCAACCTCAAACCCTCTGCTCACTGTTTTAAGTATGTCGCTCAGACCATTAATTAAATTACGATTATAGGGTGGTGGCAATGTTGATGCATGCAATGAGAACTTTGGTCTCGCAATATCATTATAGAATATTGACGCAACTTTGCACGTCGTGTCAGACTTGGCCTTATAATTATTGTTTTTATTTTTATTTTATTTACGCGTAAGAAAATATAAAGAACAGAATAAAAAAGGGAACTAAAGCTTAACAAACAAAGTGCATATAGCATCAGCTAAAATAAAAGGAAGGAGAGCTGATGGATGTAGTTATAAGACTAATTTGAGAAGCAAATTTAGCTCTTTCTTTTGCTGATCAATTTGTTACAAAGTTGCATTGTCTTAGAGTATCTTTGAAGGAGAGGTCTTAAGAGAGGTTCACAAGAGATTGTATAGTAGTAGTAAAGATGCTATCATGTGAATGATAAAACATCAATACCACTGGAGATGAAGGTAAGTAAAAGTGTTGAGTTTATCTCGCATATGATTTGGTTTCTTTAGATACTTTGACCAAAATATATGACATAAAACTTAGTGGTGGTAATAGTTGAGAAACTACAACTACCTAAATAGTCATAAGTCCAATTTTCTAATGAATCACAAAGAATACCTCCAAATTCAGTTGACCTGGGTTTCCAAAGGAGTTTTCAGTTAACTCTCTCATCTCTCATAATAAATTTCCTCTCACTTGATATGCTCCCATATATATATATATATATATATATATATATATATATATGTATTAATCTTAATAACTTCATTGAGAGGTGACACCCATTGAATAATAGTTGGAGTCTTCAATTGAAATCAAGTTTGGAATGCCTCATGTGATGAATGAATTGATGACATGATCTAATTGTAAATGTATCAAAATGACCAAGTGTTTCCATTGAAAACAACTTCATTAAGAGCATGACAAATCATCTAGTAAGTTATGCAAAAAGGAATGTGATATTTTCTTTGCATGTGGTGCTAGAGTCAATACATTGATCCTTCGTGGGAGAATTCACGAAAGAGATATAATACATTGAATACTACACTTAATGTGGATAAGGACAATAACTTTAGTGGTCAATAAGAAAATTAACGAATAATATTTTAGTATATTAGTTGAATTATTATATTTTTTTTATATCAATAGAAAGGATTATAATAGTAATAATGATATCAAATTTAAGTTCTTATTCATCTATTTCACCCTTATCATGGGTTGATTTTGGTATTTTAATGAATTGTTATATATGTATATATAGTATTTATCATTATTTCTAATACTTACTTTATTCACTCCAAAGAAGATTTTGTATATTATATTGAAGAGGCCTTTTCTAGTGTTCTCTCTAGGAGTTGGAAATCAATTTCCTTTGGATAATTAAAAGAGGAAAAAAATTGTAAATTAAAAAATATAAAAATGGATTTTATTCTTTAAATATAATACAAAGCAAAAATGAAGAAATCGCAAAAAAAGGTAAAAGAAAAATAAGATGGAATAAAATAATAATGAGATATATGAATACTTTTATTCAATTAAATAACTTAAAATAAAAAAGAAAAAGAGAAATCTTTGAAAAACAGTTTTATGTTGAACACACAAGAAGTTTATAATGTCATATAACTACAATTATTAGTTTGAGGTGTTTTTTTCATCATTGAAGGTTTGATAAATAATCTACAACTGTTATCTCTAAAATATAAATCAAAATCAGCTTTATCTTGATGAAAATGAGCTTTAGAATAAACTATTTGATCATGAAAGAAAAATGTTTTTCTTGAGTTAAGCATTGTGAAAAAAAAATATATATTGGGGTGGCTCTTGTGTGAAATAGAGGGAAAATCAATTTTCTAGTTGAGATTGATTTCTTGAATGTTGTTACTTTACTTTGAAAAGATTGCACCCCACATTGTTTGTGCTTTAGTTTTGTTTGGAGTATTCCTTGTGTATGCAGCCGCGTTAAATCTTGGGGCTAGCTATCCCACCTTTTGAGGTGTCTCCAACGTAGTGAGGAGATTAGTCACTGCTATCGACGGTGGATACTTCAGGAACGAACCAAAAAAAAAAATACTGCTGGTAGGAATTTGCAGTGATATTGTGCAATGAGGAAATTTAATCAAGTAACTAATAAGTTAGCCAGTTTTAAAATGTCTTTTAGTGAGAATTTGAGAATTTTTAATGTTGTTTTGTCTTTTCCTGTATTAATTGCTAATATTGATGTAATTTCTATTTGATACCCTCATGATTTTAATTGATAGGCTGATTTACCTCTTCAATTCACAAAAAGAGTTATTATTATCTATTTGAGTATTCTTTATAACGTTGAAAAACTTGATGAAAAATTACGATTTATAGCTACATCCCAAAAACTAAATTAAAACTCACTCATGATGAAAATAACCTCTAATCATAAAAAAAACAAAATCAACTCCAACATTCTTTGTTTCTTTTTTATCTTTACTTAAAAAAGTTCCATATTGCATAACACAATTTCATACATCCCCTCCTTCTTGTATATAAGGAGGAAACCCAAAGCTAAAAAAAGAAAAAAAAAATACAAATAATATGGTCCTAGTAAAAAAATGTTGAACTTCTAATAATTTTTTCTCTTTGAGGCCCGGTGAAAATATTGGGCCTAGATAGCGCCTACAAACTATAATCATAATTTTTTTACCACGAGGAACCTTTACAACAAACTATTGTTTGGAGGTGAGTTTGTTCATCTGTTCATTTCTTTGTTTTATTATTGTTATTGTTACTCTTTTGCATCATTTAAAAAAAAAGGATTATTTTTATATCTTTATTAATTTTGCATATTCACATGTAACTGTCTTATGAAAAATGTTGAAGAATGCTACTAACTTATGTACTTGATGAACTCTCGAACCTTAATTTCTTTTAAAAAGATTTTTTTTAATATTTTTCTTAATAAAGCTTGATAATAACTTCTACATGTATTTTCTTAATAAACCTTGTGGTAGGTAACAACTTCCATGTGTATTTATTATGTATGAAAAGTTAATTGATATATATATTTTTATATAATTAATTATTATTAAATGTATTTTTTTTATTTAATACTAGTTATTTTATTAATAATTATAGGAGTTAATTAAAAAATATAATAGGAGGATACAACTTATTCAAGAAAAAAGATGATACCCTTAACAACATATGTAATTATTAGTTAAACAAAGATGTAAGGTAGTTTTTTTATATTTATTTTTATTTAGCTACACTAGTATTCCTGTGTTGTCTTTCTTGTTAAGCAAGTGTGATTTTGTATTTATGGGTTATAAGTATATTTTTACCTAGTTTAGATAATTTTTTAATAAACACTTATAAAAAAAATCTACAGGAAATTGAATCAATTTTTTTACTCAAAAGTTATTATACTTCTTCAGTTATGAACAATTTAAATTCAGCTTATAATAAAAATTGATTCATTCAATCTCTGTTTCGGCTAAAAGGATGACTAGGGATTTTCTCCTAGGTCAATTCCTCTAAACCAGAACATTCAAGAGTGTAATTTGATCTTTTAACTCTAAGGTTTGAAGTTTTATACTTACTTGTTAATGGGTCTTGTGAGCCTTGTGAATACTGAAATTTTTCGTGATAATTTTATGTTAGAGATATCTCATTATTAATGATGATATTTTATTCCTGATATGACCACCACTATTAGAGGTCTCTCCATGCAACTCTTAGTGGACTCTCTCTCCTTAGTAAAAGTATTTCGGCATTTTTTTGATCCATGCTAGGGGTATCAGCTATCCTCCTAGCGAATTCATCTCGAAATGGACCCGAGATGATACAATCTCTTTAATTCTTTTGTATTTGTTTTCTTGTATTTAGTGAAAACTTCATACAAATTACATTTATTATTATATAAATTATATTTCTCTAGTTTAAGAGGAGTTATATATGTAAAGATATATTTAGTGACCTTCGTAGTTATAATTATAAAAATTAACTTGTATCAACAAAATTTGATTATGATTAGTTAAAATTTGAAATACTCTTGTATTTTTTAAGATTTTGACCGATTGGATATAGCTTATAATAAAAAATTAATTCAATATAGTCAGTTTTAACCCTAATCATTAAGTCAATTATATGTCTATTTTGTCAATGAACTTAGTAGCTTATATTAACAGATTTGTGAGTGTTTAGACTAAAACAGAGAACATGACTAAGAAATTTTTAGAAATTATCTTGAATCACACACACATTAACATTTGAAATATATACAAATGTTGATCACACACATATATTAGCATTTGAAATATATACAAATGTACACATATACAAAATCTGATAAATCCAAAATTTGAAATACTATTGTATCCTTTTAAGATTAAGACTAATCTAATATGGATTATATTAAAAAAAAATATTCGATATCATCAATTTTAATACTAATCATTAGATTAATTATAAGTTAATTTTATCAAAACATGGACCTCATGAGTTAAATCGAAAGATGTGCAAATATTTGAAAAAAAACAGAATATCATTCTAAAATTTTTTGAAATTTTAAGATGAAACATTAATGTCCTTCTAGATTGTTGCAGACTTTATTTCTTGGTTGGAGAGGAGGTTATTCTCAATTTGAAGCTTATTGACTTTTTATCTAGAAAACCTGATTAGACTTTGAAATATATTAAGCCCTGTAATGTATAAGCCTCCATATTATGCTCTATTCTAAGTTATTTGTGTTTCGAATATTGATAATTTCGTGCAATATAATAAAGATCTATACATCTAGATGTCCTTTCTTTTTTATATCCGATTAACATTTATCATTCTTCACCTCTCTTTAATAACTTAACACTAAGGACTAGGGCACAAAAATAATTTGGGAAGAGAAAGTTTAGGACTTAAAACAGCTGAATGGAGATGTAAATCCAAGTTTGCAAATTAATAACCATTTATACCCGATATAATTTAAAACAAAGTACTAAGTTACTAGCTACAAATTAGGTGAACGATGAAACTAATCGAAATTGTGATTTTGATGAAAACCTTAAAACAAAGTACCAAGTTACTAACTAAAAATTAGGTGATGATGAAAACTAATCGGGATTGTCGTTTTAATGAAAACCTTGATTTACACAAAAAGAAAAATGTGTTGCCTTGCTAACCCTTTACCTCCCCCCTTCTTGACTTTATTGGATGTTATGTATCCTAGCTCTACTTGCTTATTGAATTTCTTTTATGGTAAGAAGTTTCTTATTGAATTTAATGAGGTGCACAATGAAGTGCGACACAAATTATGACATGCATCCTTCCTGTACATATCATGGAATCCCGCAATTCATCTAGTTGTAAATATTAAAGACTGCTGATCTATGAGTCTCATCGATTACTCCTTATCTAGTCCTTTCATCCACCGCTAGCTTTGTAGTTATTGCTTTGGCTAAGAAGGGGCTAGCTATATTCGATTCCATAAGTTAACGGTCCTCTTCTGTGATGACAACCATATCTAGTTGAGCTTTTCTCTCCCTCATATATTTATGATTCATGACGGAGTGTTACCAAACGACAAAAGAGGCAAGGGCACACTACCTTGTACCACTAGTGCTGTATATGAACATGTGTACAATTCAAGGGGGTGTGCAAGTGCAATGCTGATCAATTTCGGCAAACTCAGACCCGTGTCCCATTTGGCACGTGTAGCGTTTGAGTCCATTGGATCTGGTCTTGCCTTTCACTATTCACTGATTTCTAAGTCCTTTACCTTGAAACACCTGGGATTGTTTTCATCCCACGTTTTAATGCATCGTTGCTAATTTTCATGTGCGCAGTTTTGGAACCCCCGCAAACACTTATCTTCAACCGTTTCCTTCCAAAGACACCGCTCCCACCAAATGGTAAATGACATTATCCGAATCCAAATTATCTTTCAAGTCATAAAACTCCCCATTATCCATACAACCGCCTCCCCTCAACCACAACTTTAATTTTCTTTAACACTTTCCTCTAATTTTTTATTCTGCATTCGTCGTATCCATCACAAAAATTCCTTCACAAATATAAAAAAATACTAAAAAGTAGTAATTAAGAAACAATTTTAATTTGTTTTTGTCTTGGACGTTTGCCACATTAGCTAGCATGCCAAGTGTGTCTAAGAGAAATCAACAGTGAGGCTCATAGAGGACACGATCTGATCGATTTACAATGCCAAGTAGCATCACGGGCCCACCACTAGCCACGTTTCAGTTCACATTGTACTTACTACTTAGTATTTACTCTCTTGTTTTTGCAATATAAATAGCCCCATCAACCCCATCCCTCTTTAAGCCCTTGAGCTCATCTTTACTTTTGTAACTTACAATCCTTGAGAACGATGAAATCAGGCATGGGGATTGAGGAGAGGAAGCAGTTGAAGAAACCAGCACAGGCCAGCTCGAGAAAGGGGTGCATGAGAGGTAAAGGTGGACCTGAGAACGCGAGTTGCACCTACAAAGGTGTGAGGCAGAGAACATGGGGCAAATGGGTCGCTGAAATACGCGAACCCAACCGTGGTGCTCGCATCTGGCTCGGGACATTTGAGACCTCTCATGAGGCTGCTCGGGCTTATGATGCTGCTGCACTCAAGCTTTATGGCTCAGACGCCAAGCTCAATTTACCAGACCTCTTTACCAAACCTCAATGTCACTCTCAATTTCCTCCTTCTCCACCACCACCACCTCCACCACCTTCTGCTGCTATCTCTCAAGTGGAGAACCTGCAGCATTCCCAGATTGAAGACAACATAGACATGTACCCTTGTTCCAATTTCAACGGCCACCCTCCAGTCACCATGGCCTCTCAGCAGGTCGGAGTTGAACCAATTTACACCAGTGACTCCATTATGTCTCTTCCCTTGGACACCGATCCTAAGCCTGTTGAAACCTATCCAAAACCTGTGTGGGGAACCATGAACGAGGGTTTGCCAGTTTTCGATGATTCTATCTGGACAGAAGCTGCTATGTCCCTTGATTTCCCTCTACTTGCTGCAGAGACTGAGATTTACGCATTGGAGAACATGGCTGAGGTTATGCAATCTCCATGGTGCATGTAATCTCATCACAGCAACACTTAAAAGGCAAGGGAAAGTAACAAATATATCTCACAGCAGCTTTTGTTCTCCATTCCCATGCCACCTGGACGGTTTCATATATCTATATATATCATATATAGACATAGTGTAAGTGCTCTGTAAAGACATATATGATCCCCAATTAAAACTATCCTAGTTAAATAGTTATATCATATAATATAAGATCTATTAAGAGTCTATATAAAATGTCATCCGACCGTTGGTTTTCTGAGGACGACAATGGTCATGTGGTTATCGTAATAATATTATCACGATGATATTGTTATTATGTTATACGTAAATATTATGTTTACATATAACATGATAAAGTATCATGGATGGTAATGTTATTACGTAAAATATATAAATATTACTTAATAGTATTAAGGGATGGTGTTAGTGTTTTATCACCCGTTGTTTAAGGGTCGTGTCTTCTTTATGCAGCTTGTGTGTTATATGTCAATAAGTATGAACGTACTTGTTTGTGTATTATGTGTAATAATGCTGCTTATATAAAATGTAATGTTGGAGTACATTATGTTTACTGTCTGTGCATTATTATATGTAAGCTGCTTATCTAAAATCTAATATTGGAGGACTTTATGTTTACTGTCTATTTTGAGTTTAAAATATTTCATTTTAAAATTCTCATAATTCGATGAATTTAGGGTTTAGAATTTTTAAAATTCTTATGATCCGATCCTTTAGTAAATCGATGTGAGATTGATTAAAGCTTTTAATCAAACTTCTGAGACTTAAAAATATTTTTTTTTATTTTTATGATTAGATGAATTTAGGGTTTAGAATTTTCTTTTAAAATTCCTATGATTTAATTTGATGATTTATTAAAACGATAAGTTGTTAAAGATTTAATCAAACTTCTCATACTAAGATTGCAAGTCTTCCCTTCAAGTTTGATCCTTCGATGTTTGAGAACTCAACAATTTTATCCTTCGATGTTTGAGAACTCAACAATTTTATATGAAAGATTAAATAATACAATTTTATATGAGATTAAATAATACAATTTTATATGAAAGATTAAATAATATAAGTCGACTACATTCTGACATTTCTTCAAACTATCCTAGACTCTTTTTTTTTATAACTACAATAACTATCTTAAACTGTTCAAATGTTTTTCTTTAAATAGTTCATTCACATGTTTTTTTTTTTTTTTATCAATACAGTCTTATGATTATTTTTGTTGAAATAGTTCATTCACATGTTTTTTTTAACATCAATACAGTCTTATGCTGATTTTTTTTGAAATAGAGTATTCTGCAATCGAAAATTTTAAAGATTTTTGCAATTTAACCAAATGTTGTAACAGGACTTCTGTAATTGAAAGTTTTAAAGATTTATGCAATTCAAGCCTTCTTAATGAAATCTAAACTCCCAAATATATATATATATATATATATATATATATACCAAAAGATGTATTAAAATGAGCAAGATGATAAATAGAATATTCTTGTAACAAACATACTTTCATTTTTCGGAATGTGTCGCAATCTTCATATAAATATATATATATATATATATATATATACCCAAAACATATTTAACATAAGTGAACCGATAAAATAATAATTTTTATAATTAGGTTCTTAGATCGAAAAATCATCTAGTTCAATACACAGTCGAACTAAATGTTATAATAGAACTTTTTGCAATTGAAAGTTTCAAATATTTCTGCAACTCAACGAATAAATCAAAAGTTGTAATAAAATTTTTTATAATTGAAAGTTTCAAAGATTTCTGCAACTCAAGATTTCTTAATAAAACCTAAAATCTCAAATATGTATATCAAAAAACGTATTAGCATGGGAGATGATAAATAGGATGTTGTAACAATTTTTTGCGAGTCAAGATTTTAGAATTTTCTATAACTTAAGGCTCCTTGAATGAAATCGAAAATACCATATATATATATATATATATATATATATGGCAATATATATATATATATATATATCCAAAAACATATCTAACTAAGTGAGTGACAAACAGAGCACCTTAATAGGATTTTCTACAATTCAAAGTTTTAAGTTTTTTTTTGCAACTTAAAGCTTCTTAAATAAAATCCAAAATCTCAAACATGTATACCTAAAAACATATCTAATAAGAACAAAATGACAAATAGAACATTATAATAGAATCTTTTACAACTCAGTTTCAAGATTTTTTGCAACTCAAGTTGAAACCCAAAAATTCTAAATAATTAAATATACACGCACGTGCGCTAGCCCCTCCCCCAACTCAAGACTCTTTGAGTGAAACCCAAAAATTCTAGATTGTACACGGTTAAATGCTAGATTGTACACGCGTTAATTTTTTTCTTTTAACACATTTGTATTATGAAATTAAATATCAGTATTCTAATTTAATTTGTAATTATCCATTGTACATTGAATGCTGCTGCACAAATTTTAAATGTTATAAAATAAATAAGAAACTTGATTGATTAAAAAATTTAAAATATTATTAATATACTTATCCATAGATAGTGTTGATACTTATTAGAAAAATATTAAATAATAAAAGTTTATATTTATATCGTGTTCCAATATTAAAGTTTAACACTCAATATTAAGGCCAAATAAACATTTGCGTTGTTTATGATTCCCATCAAAGTTAAAACATGTAGAATTTTATATAAATAAAGCAAACAAATAACATTTAAAACATCTAAATCCACAAAATACAACTTGTTCCACTTAATATAAAGTGGTGTTTGCAATAATGCTGAACATAAATTAAAGTTGATTAAAGCCAGCTAAAAGAACAACTAAACTAATATTTAAATCTTTTCAATCTTTATTTTCTTCTTCAAAACTTTCGGTAGAACAAGTAGTTCTTATAATACTTCATTTTTTTTATATAAAATATAATATATCATCCATCACATCATATAATTTGTACTATGTTAAGCTCAAGCCACCCTTGTAGCATCTCGTGCCCAAGGTCGTGCCACGCCAACATAAATACTAATTGCCACATATAAATCTTGCAATTAACACTATGTTATGCTCACGCCACCTCTGTAGCATTTCTTGCCCAAGGTCGTGCCACGCTGACATACATGTTAATTGCCTCACACATTCCACACTATGCCATGCTCACGCCACCCATGTAGCATCTCTTGCCCAAGGTTGTGCCACACCGATATAAGTGTGAGAAACCACAATCACATTTCATTCATAATCATCACAAATATTGCAATTAACACTATGTCATGCTCACGCCACCCTTGTAGCATCTCTTGCCCAAGGTCGATGCCACGTCGACATAAGTGTGAGAAAACACAATCATATCATATTCACATTCAACACAACGTCTCATTTCATGCCAACATACTCACATCATAAATAATTGAACTATTAAGCCATAACATGAGCACTTCGCCACACCATGCTATCAATTCAATACTAAAACAGTAGATACAATATGTATGCATTTGTGCCAAGACATCACACCACAGTCCATAACTCAATTCCACATTACAAAATTAAGTATTAAAAGAATGCACATCTCGGTACTTTATAATTTTTTATTGTATATGAAATTATTACATAATAACTAACATAGATAAATTAACATTATATTTAATTATATATTAATAATTTTATTATGAAATTAAATTTGATTAAATTATCAATAAAAAATCAACTTTTATATGTTAAATATAAATTGTTATCTTATGCATGTATCATTTTATTTTCTAAAATAATAATATTATTAAATATTATCATATTATATTCAAAATTATTATTTATTTTTACATGTGGGGAATCATTTTATTATATTTATTTATTTGATTTAATGAGAGAAGGGAAATGAGTCGGGTTGACCCGATTCAATGAGCTTTTAAAAGAGGGGTTAGGCAAAATTTACCCTAATTTATCTCATTTTGCATTTTGAAGGACTAAGAGAGAGATGGAAGAGAAGGAAGGAGCTATAGCGAGAAGTGCTCAGAATTGTCTCAAAATATCATCACAATAAGGTATAGGGGAGGGAAAGGAGTGATTCATGTGTGAGATTACAAGAGAGAATAGGTAGTGGGAGGAATCCCAAAATTCTTAAGATTTTTCTATTTCTGTTCTGAAGCTGAAATTGATAATCCAGTTAGGTTCTATATTGAATTATGAATGTGTTTATTGTACTATTTGGTAAAATTGATGATCTGAAGAATAATTGAACTCATTGGAATGTCTCTGCAAGTTAGGGTTTCTAGAGAAATTTGGGTATTGTTAACTGGTATGAAAATTTATGAAATAAATGTTATATAATTTGTTTTTGGGTAAGTAAAAATAAGTGTTCTGACTGATTGGATTGGTAAAAGGTAGAGCTGTCAAAACGGGTCAGCCCGACCCATGTGGGCCGGCCCACTTTGGCCCACCTTAAAAACGGGCCAACCCAACCCGACCCACTTTTTATTTTGTCAGAATTTTTATGGCCCGGCCCGGCCCACCACGGGTTGGTGGGTCAAACGGGCCAGCCCACCAACCCACCAAATTTTTTTTTTAAAAAATTACAAACAAAATTTAAAATTTCAAATAATTTAACATTACAATTAGTTTGTTAATAATTTAATGTTACAATTGATTTGTTAATAATTTAATATTACAATTACAATATAAATGAAACCAAAAATGTATTTTTTCTAAACATAAATTATATAAATGAAACAAAAATGGCACCTTTCTTATTCGTTACTATAGTGAGCTAACATGGTATGACACCTTTCTTATTCGTTACTGTGAGTGCGTCAATACTATAGTGAGCTAACATGAATTATGAAAGGCCATAAACTTTAAATTGCACGTGGGTTGTTTTTGTTTTGACTGTTTTTGTTTTACAATTTGGGCTTTAGTGTTTCCACTTTATGTTGTCTCATGTCTGTTGACTTGCTTATTGGGCTGACTGTTCTGTTTCAATAAAAAAAAATAAGTGGGCTGTTGGGCTGCCCGACCCACCACGGGTTCAGCCCAAGTGGGCCGGGTAAAAGTGAGCCGGGTTTAAATTTACTCACTTACCATAAAATTGTTATTTATTTTGGCTCGGCCCGACCCGTTTTCAAGGTGGGCAGGGTTGGCCCACGGGCCACAACCCATTTTGACGGCTCTAGTAAAAGGATGTTTGTATGTTTGATTCCAAATCTTGGTGATGTTCTGTTTATGCTTCATTTATGGAAAATGCATTGGGCACCAGGTGTGAGTTATTGGCATTGGTGTTACACCTTTACTACCTCAACACATATATTGTAATAATGTAAATAAAACTAACGAATAAATTTTCAACGTTGGTAAAAAGGGTTCATATCAAATCTTCATAACTGTTGTTCAATATCCAAAATAATTGAAAATAAAACTTAAGAGTTTACAAATTATTTTCAAAATAATAAGTACAACTCCAAATATATATAAAAATCCATGTCTTAGAAATCTTCTACCCCAATGTCACAATATCAGAGCACACACACAACTCAATTGTTGGCATTCTGGATGCCACTCATAGCCAGATCTTCCTCACTTAAAA